AGATATACCACCTGCTCCAACAATAACTTTGAGATGTCTCCATCTCTATAGGGTCTTACCCTCCAGCATAGCTTCTTCTCTTCTTTCTCTGAACTATAGACTCCTTGAGATACCAAATACTTTTCTGTAAAGCGTTGCATGCATATTCATGTAATATAAAATGGTGTCTACACCACTAATTGTATCTACACAGAGGAAAACAGTCCTCAGAGGCTTAACCAACTTTATTTCAAATTCAGAAAAACTCCACAAAAGGATGAAGAACATACAATAGGATAATTTTTGAGTATTTTCTATTGTATTAAGGCATTGCGTTTTCTATTATAGAATCATAGTTTTGCCAGAATTGGAAGGAACATTAAACATCATCCAGTTCCAACACCCTTGCTGTGGGCAGGAACACCTTTCACTAGACCAGGTTTCTCAGAGCTCCATCCAACCTGGCCTTGGACACTTTCAGGGAAAGGGCATTCACAACTTCTTTGGCAACCTGTTCCAGTGTCTCACCACCCTCACAGTAAAGAATCTCTTCTTGTTATCTAGTCTAAACCTACTCTTTCAGTTGGAAGCCATTCCATCGTGTTCTGTCACTACATCCTCTTGTAAATAGTATATCTCCATCTTTCTTGTAGGCTCCCCTCAGGTACTGGAAGGCTGCAATTAGGTCACCCTGAAACCTCTTTTCCTGGCTGAACACTTCCAATTCTCTAGGCTCTCATGTATTGGTTCTTTTCCCTGTAACAACATATATACATCCCATCTTACAGACGTCAACAGAAATTACAAGAAAGGTCTCATAATGCAAAGACTTCACAGAAAACTCAGCTGAACCAAAAAAAAACCAAACAAGCTGGACCTTGGATATTTATCCTGATATGAACTTGCTTTAAACGGTTTGATATTTTCTCATTCAAGGTACTACCTTAGAATAGGATTTTCTAATAATTTCAGTTTATCTTCAGTTCCAGGAAAAAACAAGTGCTATTTTCTTCTATATGCTCTTTAATACATGGCTTCTGTATTGAATATATGAAAAATGTTTGTGAGTCTCAAGTACTCATGAATTTCTATTTTAGAGATGTATAGCAAGAAAATAAAGGATGGGTGACTGTAGAGAGCCAGAGTAATCCCAGCATTTCCCACTGGCCTAAAGAAGATGTTTCTCAGATATTTCTATTTGCTTGAGCACAGCCATGTCAACAGGAACATTATGAAACTCCAGTTCTTTGAGGTTGTCCTACATTGCACAAGAGGTTCACCTGCTGATGCCTTCTGAGAAGGTCATCACACATAACTGCATTAGCTGAATGGTTGTAGCAGACCTAGATTCTGTCAAAATTTCCCATGTAGAACTGTGGCACAGTATACCTTCCCTGCACACTGACAGATGTGAGAAATTAAGGTATATTATTACGTCAACTTTCTAAATTTTATGTCTAGGTAATTTTCACAGATAAACTACTTTTCTGCCTTCTCCCTCCATGTTAGCCTTTTTATAATCTCTTTCAATGCTGATTTTCAGTAGTTGTACTTATGATGCCATATACAAGATAGGCAAAACAGATCATCGGTCGTGATCAACAGACTCATGTCCTTTGGTCAGCACCTGTTCTGCCTAGTGTCTTGAACTGGCTCCGAGATGAGTTTTATGTTCCAAGAATAAATCCTTCACATGGAGTACATCCAATTTCCTAGAAATGCTGATACTTAGCTGTACTGTATATGCAGCCTGGGACTGGTGACAGCCAAGCAGGCAGATGATCTTTCTACTGATAATTGTCTTTAAATAAAATTAAAACCTCAGCCAGCTATAAATTGGCTTAAATTTTTAAAAGTCACTTTCAAGCTTGGTTGACAGTTCTAGCTGGAGACTAAACACTTTCATCCACTGGTTAAGTAAAACGCAGCCAGTTGCAATGCTGTCTCTCCAGTGAGATGGGTCCAATTCTGTAGATGACAGAGAAGTTCATAACCTCTAGTTTATTCTGTCTTGTCTCTCAGGTGACAGTATCAGCTAGGGCACCAGTAGTGATATCTTCTGCTATTTTCTAGTAGCTCAAAAAGAATTGAACAATGAGCACTAGTGACCTGGACAGCATTTGAACTACAACTGTATGTTGTACAAAGAGTCTCCGCAGCTGCAAGAAGTTCCTTGTTCTACTTACAGCTAAAAACAATCTTTCCTACACATAAACTTGAAAGTTTATCTGAGTTGCACATTGTCTTGATTTTTCCTCATGTTGGCTACAAAAACAGCTGCCTTCAAATCAGATGTGTGAGAGGATTTCAATTCAAAAAGATACTGAGCAGCCTCACTGTCCTCATAAGTTTTGCCACTTCTTCCTTCACCATCCTGTAGTTCACAGGAAGTGAATGAAAATAAAATTACAAAGAACATTAAAGGAAGAACTGAACAATAGCCCTGATTTTGAAAGTTATTCCAAGGTCAGAATAGGTATAACCTAAGCTTTATCCAGAAAACAACATTCCAGGACAAGAAGATGCCAAAGATGCTTTTTGCAGTTTTATCTCATAGTTGCTTGTCATGCTTCTGAAACAAGAGAGAATACTTAATAAAATATGTGCTCTTGTAGACAATTTGTTCTGGGTCTGGCTAAATAATAGGTGAGAGTGTTATTTTGAACAGTGACAATTATGTCTTTTCAATAATAGCACTCTGTTGTTTTTAAAACTTTCAAATGATGGATTACTGGTGTGATCTCCGATTCAGAAAGAACTGTATAATCCCCTTGCTGTGCTGCAAAGTGCCCCAGCAGCACTGCCCTGATGAAGTCCTGCAGGCATGATCTGAGACAGCACACGCTGTGCTGCCAGGCGTTCTTGGGGCTTAAGGTACCCCAAGGACACAACTACCTGTCTAGCAATAGTTGGATTCAATGCCAAAAGATTTCTTTACTATCACTCATATGTGCTGAAACAGCACACATAGCAAGAGTTCCCAGAAAAATCAACTACCATTAAAAAAAAAAGACAAGGCACACCTTAGGAGAGAGATTTCTCTGGCACAATTCAGAGCTACTCTCTTGACATAAAAGTGCAATATCAGATAAGGATCTGGCCCATCCAATTTGAATTCTTTAATATATGCATTCTTTAAAAATAAATAATTGAACTGTCAGTTCCATCTAACTGCCTCACTACTGTTCTTTCGTTTCCTGTCAGCACCACAAAAATAGTTAGAAGAAGGGGTTTGCATAAGGAGAGAGCTCACAAGGGAAAGAGCAGGCTGTTATACAGAAAAGGGAGAGCATGTAAAATAGCAGGCAGCACAGAGATGAGTGCAGAGGAAGCAGATCAGTGGGCCAGTCAGTACTGAGGTACAGGATGAAACAGCATAAAAGTAAACTATACCTGGGGAAATGTGGCTTGGAAGGTGCTAAGGGTGTACTATTTAAGTAGTTTAAGTTAAAAGGGACATTATGTACCAAGGAAAGACAAATTTCATGTTCCCTGTGTCCTCTGAGTGTAAAAAAGGTCCCTAACAAGCCAATTCTCAACAGTGGAAGGAGACTACATTAATGCATCCCTTCCAACCCAGTATTATCACATCTAGAGATCTCCTCTGTGCCACTAGCAGAAAAAACCTCACAGGCTGTATTTTTTCATTGAAAGCAGCACTGAAAACTACCCATTTGGCAACTAATGAATAGATCCTTATTTTCCTGCCTTTCTTACACTACAGGCTGTGAGACTGTCTGATCATCTGAATTTCAGAGCAGTTGTGCATAGAAAAAGAAGACAGCCTAAAGCTGCAATACCTGCCTGCCTGTACAAGTAGTCGCAGTAATTCCTTATAGTACCCCCACCATGCTGATAGGGAGGGCAGTGATGTCCCCCTTCTCTTTTCAAAGGAGAACAGTTAGCACCAGAAGTCAGCTGGAGGTGTCAGTGTGAGAGGACTTCAGAGTTCAATGCTTAGCTCCTGCTGAACCCTCATCTGACCTCTGATGCTGCTGTATGTTCAGAGGATAGCTGGGGAGACACAGAACATGTGAATGACAAACGAAACAGGAACCACTCACCCTAACCAACTACTGTCCTTTGTCTTCTCGTAGAAGAGCATTTATATCTGTCCTTTATTCTACAAGGGCAGTGAATTCATATATTTTTAATAATGAAAAAATATATTTAAAACTATTTTGCAGACCTTATAGCCACATCACTACTGCACAGTGAAATGCAGTCCCTTCTGACACTAAGCAGCATTGCAATGGCTTTGCCTTACACTGAGTAAGTGCCAACCATGGGGTTCACTGCACTAAAATCAGTATAGCATGTGGGTAACTGTAGACATTGAAACAACCAGTCAGCTGCAAAATTTGCTCATCTTGTGTGGATGTGTACAGAGTTTATGTATATATGCAAATCAAGCTATCACAAGAATAGATGTCAAAATAAACAGTGAAAATATAATTGATCATACAACAACAGCAAATCTTTTTTTCTCTCCTCATAAGTGCTGATTACAACAGTAACTATTAAATATATAAGATGCATGACTGTATCTTGATTTGATAACAGCATTTCTCTGCATTTTGAGAGCTTAAAAAATGGAGTAGTAACTCAATTATGTATGTTTATGAGCCTAATATAATTGATTTTCTGACCAGCAAGGATACCAGTGGGAATTATCTTGGTCCAAAGAAATCAGTGAATAATGACACAAAGTCCTGTTTTGGCAGAAGCACCATAAAGATGTCTTACATAAAAGTCCATAATCTAGCCAGCGTCAGAAATCCAAGCTGAAATCCAAATATATCAAGTTGATAACAACTGTTCCAGTACCACACGATAACACATGGTTCTTATATAGTGTTATTGCACAATGTTTTCATATGTAGCTTGTTTCTGTCTACATTGTCAATAATCAAATTGTAATGAGTGACTACCATACTACTTGACTGAATAAAACCTCGTCTTTCTAGGGCTGGATTTCTGAAAATGATGACTGCAAATGAGAATCTAATGCTTACTGCCATTCAGCTCTTCTGAAATTGTCAGTATGTGTCTGCATAAGCAAGGACCTCCAAGGGGTTTCATGGTGCAACTGATATGCCAAATGCTGAGAATCACCCCTCTTCAGTATGTCTTCATGGGGAGTGTTCTTGGGAAACATCTATTTAAATAGTCAGGAAAAACTGGATAGAAGGGGATGGATAGAATATCTCAAGCATAAATCACTGTACTTCATATACAAGCACTTTCACTGTAGTACTTTTGGACTATGTTATTCTCCACCTTAACTGCCCATATAAATTGCATTTTCAGCTTTCAGCAGAACTGTGTGAAGAAACATTTGTTTGTCTCATATGGTTCTTCACCCTTTTCCAAAAATTTTCTTTTCCCCACAATCACACAAGGAACTCGCTTTCTGTTAACTGCTCAGTAAAAGAGAGTGCCTCGGGGCTTTATTAAGTAGGATTTCTGAGAGACTGAACTATGTGTAACCTAAATTGGCTTCATAAGTGGTTTCTGGAGGGCATAGTGCAGTATTTATACGCATAATCGCCTTTCACCTTGATGTTAATTATATACTTTGCCATTCAAAATAAGTCATGGCCATGAGCTTAAGCATCTGTAAAGTAAACATGTCAGGAAAGTAAGATACTGTAAAATGAATTTAAATAGTCAATTCAACACTCCTAAAAATTCCTTTTCTTTTTACCCCCAATCTCTAGTGTGGTCCGAGCAGAAAACAACCATTGGTCTCTAAAAGGAGAGCAGAAAATTTTCACCTCTCTGGGTTGCTTTGTTATAAAATAGAAATATAATGCACAGTCTTTTTTCTCCAAATATGATAATAAAAGGGCCTTGCTGGTTAACGACAATTTGAAGAGTTATAAGTGCCTCAGGGTCTCATAAAACACATTTTAGCTAGGAAAAAAATTACATAATACGTCATTTTTGCATTTCATTTTCTACTTTTTCTTCCCTTTTCTAAATCAATGATATTTATACAAAAACAGGATCTTTATTTCTGATCTGTGTTCTACTCCACTGAAGTCAATATGCCAGATTTTTGAGAATGAATTTTTTCTGCTGGAGTTTGTTATGTGCTGCTTAAGTGAGGACAATAAGAACCCAGCAAAAATCACCATGATCCAGAAAGCAAAGTCTCTGACCTAAAGAAATGGCATCCAGAATTTACTGATTGCCAACAGCAAATAATTATGAGTTTGGAAGGGCCTGTTCCAGAGCTGGCCAGCTTTAAAGAACTGGCTCAGCTGAGACAAAAGTACTAGATTTCACAAGCACATTTTGGAGGCATTTAAAAAAAATCATAAAAAATATGCACTGCAAAATAAAAATATGGAGATGTTTTGGTTTAAATTGGTATCTGCCAACATGTTGACAGTCCTTTGAAGACTCAGTACAAAGAGGTAATTCAGGTTTTTTCCTGTCATTTCAGGCTTTGAAACTACCCTGCTCACTTTCTACTGAATAGCCCATCTAGGCTGTGCTCACTTCTAAATTGCCTCCTACTTCAAACATCAAAATTCTGTGTGAACAATTCCCTGTTTCTCATCTGACTGAGATCTCCATTTTTGCTCTCTTTTCCATTCACCATTTTGTTTGCCTGATACCCAAATGCTAATCAAGTCCTCAATGTTCCTCTGTAAGCCCACCAAAAAAACCCCAAACTAAAATATAAAAATAAATGTGTGTAGCTTCAGAAAAAGGCATGACAGAATTATGGAAGACAAAACCATTGAAAGGTTCAGTATCTGGGACAGTATTTTGGGGAAGTTTTTATGTTTTCTTCTAAACCACTGCTGATGGATCATGTTAAATCAGACTGCTGAGACAAATAATACTTTGATCTGAGCCAGTAGGGTTGTTCTTAGGCACCACCTGTACAATACCTCCATTCTCTGTTTACTCCCTTCTGTTTCTTTACAGAAGCTAAGCCTAAGCTTCTTCCAGAATAATTTTGTTGGTATCTGTCATACTCTATAAACTAAGCGCTATTTCATAAGCCTGCAACATCATCCCTTTGTGTCATACTGGCTAGTAGCTACAGGTATAATAGATCACATTAATACTAAAAATATCATTATGAAGCACTTTCTTTAAGATTACAGTACTAAAGTTTAGATAAAGAATTTCTCACCTCCTTCAGGATATTAACTGCAGACAGAAAAGAATGATGATGGCATTGACTAAGCACACAGTAGAATAAAAAAAAATTAAGGAAATTAAGTCTCTTCTAAGTCATTATTTTTACTGATAAAGTTTAATTTTGCCTTTATAGACTGCAGTTTAAGTCTTCACTCACCTCTAGAAAGTACCAGAGTCCTCCTGTACTCAGCACTGGTGAGACTGCACCTCAAATCCAGTGTTCAGTTTTGCATCACTGACAACAGGACATGGAGGTTCTCGAGCATGTCCAAAAAAGGGCCACTAAGCTGGTGAGATGTCCGTAGCACAAGTCAACTGGGGAGCAGCTGAGGCAGGTGGGACTGTTCAGCCTAGGTAAAAGGAGGCTCAGGGGAGACCTTGTTCTCTCCACAACTACCTGAAAGAAAATTGTAGCAGTGTGGGGGTAAGTCACTTCTCCCAAGTAACAAGTGTTAGGACAGGAGAAAATGGCCTCAAGTTGTGCCAATAGGAGTTTGGATATTGGGAAAAAAATTGTTCGCTGAAAGGCTGGTCAGGTATTCAGATAGGCTGACCAGGGAAGCAGTGGGATAACCATCCCTGGAAGTGTTCACAGGGCATGTGCATATAGCACTTGGGGACATGCTTTAGTGATCAGTGCAGTGGTGCTGAGTTAACAGTTGGACTCAATGATCATAGTGGTCATTTCCAACCTTAATGATCCTATAATTCTATGAAAGACATTCTCAGTTTTCAGTTCAAACTAGTCCTAATCCAAAATCCTCTGTGAGATGCTTAAATATTTCGATGGTTCTGTCTTCTTTGTAGCATTTCATGTTACTCATGCTGCTTGAAAACACACGTAGTAATAAACTGTCAATGCTGAGAATGTCCATGAACATTTTGAGGTGTTTTGAAAGAAGATGCAAAATTCTCCACTACCAATTATTAGAACAGTTGTTATAGTCTACTCTTATTTCCTTTCAAATTTTAGTGAATTCTATGTCCTTTCTTAGGAAAAGGTGTGAGCACCTTTACCCAGCTGATCATTTTTCTGGCACTTTGGAAAATATCTTATGCCCCATTATTAATAATCTTTTTGAAGCGTATCTGTTTGCCAGTACTTTGTTCCCTTCTATTTTCAAATTGTCAAATAACAGCTGAGGAATCTTATATGCAGCAGCTGATTCAAATGCATTATTATGTTCAGGTTGCACTATTGTACTTCAAGGCATCACTCTGATTGCTCTGGCAGTCAACCTTTTCCAGGCCTTGCCATAAAATCTGCTAGCTTATAGCATGTGGTAAGCATTTCAGAGATGACTCTAAGCCAGTTTTGTAACATGGTGTTTTAAGTATATAAATCAGCAACCATCAAGAATAATGATTCAAGCTATCAGGTTTCTACAACAGTGATGCAATTTATTAAACTGCTCACTGTTACTTGCAAAACAAGCAAAGCTGAGTTGAGATAAATAAGCTTTAAAATGTCATCATGAGGAATAGTATCTGAAAGGGCTTAATTGCTCATAGTAATGAACAAAATGAACAGACAGCATTAAAAAGTCACAAGGAGACAGACCTTCACCTCATTGCAGAGTTGTAGCACCACTAAGTACTGGATATCACATTCTTAAGGTATCTAAAGAGATACATTACTTATACCGAACCATTTTTAAGTAACCTTTATTTGGAAAGTATTTTACAGAAATGAATAATGCATATAATGAAGCATTACTGCAACAAATACATCCTAACCAACCTGTAACTGAAAAAGAAGGAAGAAGGTAATAAATTACTTGGAAAATGCTTAAATATCTACATGAGAAAGATCTGATACAGTTGTGACTGCCTACATCCCGCAGTGACAAAAGGGGTTTGTGCAACTAAAGATGAGAGAGATATTGATTCCTCAGTATCTAGTAGTATTAGCTGTAGCAAATTATTTGACACATTTCCCATTAACTACACCAGGTAAAGGTTATGGCTACAGCAAATTATTTTGGTAGTCAGTCTTAAGAGTAATTTTACTCCAAAGAATAAGAAAATATAAATGAATCAATATTTTCACCACAGCTGGCTGAAGTATAGATAAAAGCCCTATCATTACATTCACCAGCTTATTCTGTCATTAAATACACCTAGATTAATATGAATACTAAGACAACTATGACACGGAAAGTAGTAACAGAAACCAATCCCACACTGATACAAGAACACCCTTTTAATTTCATTCTTTTGTCCACTTCAAGCTTAAGCCTCCAAAAAGATAGTATTGGTCACAGCATTAATCAAATATACCAGAAACATTCATTATTAATCATAAAGCAGTGTTTAGTTTCAGGGGTTTACTATTACATCTCATGTACTTCAAAAATTATGTCTTTTTCCATTTTGATCCCATTAAATTGACTGAGAGCCTTTCCATAGCCTGCCTTAGTCCTGAGTGGGGTTCACAGACTCTCCAATAAAGGAATTCAAGTAAAAGCAACACAAATAACAAACGGGTTTATGCAGCAAATATATGAAATCTATAAAAGCTAAGTGAGCTACTATTAGGTACAGGTCTGGCTTATTATGCTTATTTTGGCAAAATGAGAGCTATCTCCAAAAACGAGGAGTCAGAATTCTCTCTGTTCTTCTTCCCAGTCGACAGAATTTCCAGCTCTATGAGAAAAGTTTAGTTCTCATAGGCCATTTGGCCCCTGTTCTCCTGCTCAGAACATCAGCTGGCCTGCAAATTAAAACATTTCCTATCACAGGGTGCATGTCCCACTAAAGCTACATCAACACCAAATGGTACAATCACCCTGGGGAAATGATCAAAGTCTAATGATACACTCACACACTTGTGGATATCACTTACTCTTGGTCCTTGAGCAAAAACCTCTTGTAACACTAACTACATTAAGCTTTCAATGTTATTGAAACATAAAACACAACCTTTACTGTTCAAATACAGTATCACAGGTAGTAATTCTAATGCTACAAAATCTTGTAAAAAAACCAAAATTCAATGGCCCCTTTCACATAAACCACTAAAAACACATTGGATGCTTTCGCTTGCATCCAGCTATTTCACTTCCATCGAGCTATTCCCTAACTGACTGGAATTGAGATAAGTTTCCAGGTATTAAGAAACTGCTGTCTCCCACCACCATAACAGGAATGTTTTCAAAACTTCTGATCGGCATTCCTGTTCTTCCTCTAGTTGTGAGAAGAAAAACTTATCTAAATCTACTGATGACATCATAGCTCAATTTTTATGAAAGAAAATTGAAAAAAATTCAGTAAGCATACCAAGAATTAGTTGACTGTTCATCAACATTTATGAAATAACAAGTAAGGACAAGGACAGAATTAAAATAAACAAATGTTACTGATAAGAGAACTCACTCCATCATCCTTTTGATGATTCCATCCCCATGAAACTTTTAATATGCCTTCAGTTCAGTGCAACAAAAAGAGAAAAGTAAACACTTTGTAGTTATTAACCAAGAGGTTAAAATAATCAAAATTTAAAGAACCTAAGCTCTGATCAAACTTTCACATGTCCTACTTAAAACTTTAGTTCAGTCATACTTGAAATCATCTACCAAAAAAATGAGGAGTTAAATATGTTAGGACTTCAATTTAACCATACAGAATCACAGAATATTCTGAGTTGGAAGGGACCTATAAGGATCATCAAGGTCCAACTCCTAGATCTGCATAGGATCATCCACAAGAATCCCACCATGGGCCTGAGAGCATTGTTCAAACTCTTCTTGTACTCCGACAGGCTTGGTGCTATGACCACTTCCCTGGGGAGCCTGTTCCAGTGCCCAACTACCCTCTGGGTGAAGAACTTTTTCCTAATATGTAACCTAATCCTCTCCTGACACAGCTTCAGGCCATTCGGGAAACGCTCTAATAGCTGAATATCTTTCTTATATTGTGGTGCCCAAAACTGCACACAATATTCAAGGTGAGGCCACCCCAGTGCAGAGCACAGTGGGACAATCCCCTCCCTCGACCAGCTGGTAATGCTTTGCCTGATGCACCCCCAGACACAGTTGGCCCTCTCGGCTGCCAAGGCACTGCTGACTCATCTTCAACTTGCCGTAGATTAGGACCCCCAGGTCCCTCTCCATGGCACTGCTTTCCAGCATCTCATTCCCCAGTCTGTATGTACATCCCAGGTTGCCCCAACCCAGGTGCAGAATCCAACACCTTCCCTTGTTGAACTTCATGTGGTTGGTGATTGTCCAGTCCTCTAATTTGTTGAGGTCTCTCTACAGGGCCTCTTTCCCTTGGAGGGAATCAACAGCTTCTCCCAAGTTTGTATAATCTGCAAAGTTACTTACTATCCCTTCCAGTTCTGTGTCCAAGTAATTTTTGAAGCTGTTGAAGAGCACAAGGCCTAAGATGGAGCCCTGTGGAACCCCTCCAGTGATAGGTCACAAGTCTGATGTTCCCCTCTGCGCTTGACCCGTGAGCCAATTGCTCACCCACCACTTGACGTGTTTATCCAGCTGTATCCCGGACATTTTGTACAGAAGGATCCTGTGAGACACAGTATCAAAATCTTTACTGAAATCCAAAAAGCGTACATCAACTGACTGCCCTTGATCAGCTGGGTAGGTTACCTTGTCATAAAAGGAAATCAGGTTTGATAACAGGACTTTCCTCTCATGAAGCCATGCTGGTTGTGACTGCATTGTGTTTAGGTGGTTTTCAGTACCTCCTAGAATAATCTTCTCCATAACTTTCCTAGGAACTGAAGTGAGATTAACAGGCCTGTAGTTTCCAGGGTCATCCTTCTTGCTCTTTTTGAAAACTGGGACAATGTTAGCCAGCTTCCAGTCAACTGCGACCACTCCAGATTCCCAAGACCATTAAAAAAATAGTTGAGAGAGGCCTCAATCTCATAAATATCCATAAGCACCAATTCATAGCATCTCCATTAAGTCAGTCTTTAACTACAACTGAGAAAAACTAATGCCAAAACAAATGAAACTGTTTAGCTACACTTACAGGGAGTTCCTGGCAGACCTTGGAATGCAGAAGCCTCGTCTGCTCTTGAATCATGAGGCCAAACTCACACACAGCACCAGGGAAGGCACTGTAGTTGCAGTATTTTACAGTACTATCACTATAATTACTTTGTGCCTCTCCTGTCTAAGATAAGAAGAAATAAAAAATAACATTAGGATGAAAAGTAGACCTCATCTACTTCTCAGAGAGCTTTTCTTCAAGCGCAAATACCAAGACAGTTTTCAGAAGCTCCCTTTAGGTCTTCCGCAGAATTTTTCCCCTATAAATGATAATACACACTTGAGCAGAAGCAATGTTTCCACCAACAGTTATAAGCTGATTATAAGCCACCATTCTACGAAGTTTGAAGCATATCAGGTTATTTTATTTTCATGGAGTAATTTCCATCAGCAAACACTGCAAGTGACTAGTTTGTATTTATTTATTGAGTATCATTTAAGGGCTTTTAGGGTCTTTTAAGCCTATGCTACCACAATAGTAACAGCTTCTGGTTTGAATAAAATGATACAAAAGTATAAAATAAGACAGAAGGTTAAATTGCCCGCACATGGTTGTAGTGATGCAAGGCCAGTGCAGCCATGGATAACATCTTTAAGACTACATGAGAGAAACAGTCCTGCAGAGCCCAGGGCAGGAGAGAAGGAGGGGAGGAGGTTTTCCACGCATAGCAGCAGAGTTTCCTCTTCGGACACTGGGGAACATGATGTTTTAGCAGGCTCTCACCCTTCATCCCATTTTGTGCCATTGCGGAGCAGACATTCCCCTACAACCTTTAGGCATCCACAGTGGAGCTGGGTCATACCACAGCCAGAAACAAAGCACTTCAAAGACACTCCTTCACTGCTGGAGTAAAATTGAGAACACTCATTACTTGAGATAAAAGGCAGTTTACCAGAAAAAGCAAAAGCCCTACATGCAATCAAAGCTGGAAACACCATCGCTGACACCACTGCCACCACTGCAGTGGGCTTCTCTGCCTGTGTATTGCCTCCTGCACTGCCAGAGAGCCCGGCCGCTCCTCTCGCTTCTGCCGTGTCAGGTCAGAGTCCAGCAGACCCACTGGCACATGCTGGTGGTGAAGCAAGGCCCCTGAAGACACAGCTACCCACTTCATGTGGGCTGGGGTTGGCCAGTAGCCATGGAGCCCATGTGTGGCCAGCATGGCCATGCAGCCATTGTGACAACACTGGTGAGGCTGGCTCTGTAAAGCCCTTGTGTCACAAAGGGCTCCACCCTGGCACCCCCTATAAAAGCAGAGCAGCCACACGCCGCTCAGCCAGCACCACCATGGCCGGCTACAGACGGAGGAGGGGCAGGGCTCGCAGGAGCAGGAGCAGGAGCCAGCCAAACCTGCACAAGACGCGTCGCGCCGGCCAGAGCCGCTCCCGCCGCCGGAACACGCGGATGAGGGGCCATGCCGGCTACGCTGGCCAAGATGAAACAGGCAGCCCCCCCACTGGCAGGCGCCGGCCCCCAAATAGGAGACGCAGACGCCGTCCCGTAGAGGAGGAGGAGCTGGAGGAGCCGGAAGAGCTGGTAGACCTCGAGTTTTAGAGCCAGACCCTCCGAGACCACCAGCCAGCCACCACACGGGCACGGCTACAACAATAAAGCATAGAAAGCTTGCATAATGGCTGTGGGTCTCTCTGGTGCACCTGCGTGGCAGCCATGGGTCTCTTCGGGTCCACCCGGGTCCTGGGATCATGGGTGGCTTTTGCGACTCACCTCAGAAGAGGCGGGTAACCCAGGTTATTATCAGTAAATCCCTTGGGGTGAATTAGAGTAAAACGACACTGAATAATCAGTGTTTATAAACATTTATATGTAAGGTTTGTTTTGGAACAATTTTATTTCAAAGCTAAACAGCTATGTTGCCATTTTCAATGTTATCATCTATAGCAATACAGCAATATTAGAGTATCTATAGCAATACAGAAATATTAAAGCATAGCAATAAAGCACTATTAAAGCATAGCAATATTAAAGCATAAAGATAACACTTAAGGAAATGCATAAGGGAAGAGAAAGGGAAAGAAAGTATAAAGGTGGAAAGATATATATATATAGTCATCACCCACTGGATCCAGCAATGAAACTTGGTAGTTGCAACTTCGTGCTTCTTCGTTGCACTGGTGGTCTGGGGGAAGCCTCCCCCTAAACTCCGAAGATATTATGAGTTACTATACAATTCCAGCTCAAGTGCAGGGAGTTTTTCAATGGATAGTGTCACGGGACATTTCATTGAGTCTCTGACATCTCCTAAGACAGCTACAGCTGCCTATTGTGTCAGCATCAATTGTGGTCCGACATTTGAGATGCATAGCCCAGGCTAGATGAGCAGAGTTATCATGTAAAGGGAGGACAATGGCATGTTAACAGGGATTCTCCCACCTTGCAGGATTTGCCTCTTCTTAGCCTCTTCCCTTATCTGGAGATCCGGTTTGTAGCTTCAGGTATACATCTGCACCCAGGATAATTGGGCAATGGCACCAACTTATCTGATCTGAAGGTCCTTTGGCAGTATTCAGTTTGGCGTGGGCTTTGCTGGGCGAGCAGCTGCTTCTTTTCAGTTTGCAAAAGTCCATGTCCAACAGCTGTGAGCAACCCAATGCATGGGAGTAACACGTGGGAGTGTTTGGGATCATAAGCGTGTACAACAGTGGTGCACACCCAGGAGCAGGAATACTCCTGTGAGGGAAGGGCATGTCCAAGAATGTGATCAGACAGATGTGTTCTTGTGCAGGACGTGCATGTTCAGGCATGATGTTCCCGTGTGGGATCTGTGAGTTGGAGGATGTTCTTGTGTGGCATGTGCATGTCCAGGGTTGTCCTTGCCCAGGATGAGGTGTGAATGTGTCTGCAACCCACAGCTGTGCCTGCCCCGTGGGGAGTGCACATGATGATGGCAACATGGATAACCCCTGCTCCTGGCCACTGGTCCCCTGGGCTCCCTTTTTAGTTCCTCTTATTGCAGGGTCCTGAATAGCTGAGCAGAGCCCACACAGAGAACACTCAGCGCCTCGTGCCCTCTCCTGCAGCAGTTTTGGGGCATAAAGGGTAAAGGCCAGACACAGAGTCGCCGGTGGCTCTTCCTGTCCCACTCCTGGCTCTCATCTCGGATGTTCTCTCACCCTCTTCCCACTCCTGGCAGGTTTGTCACATTGCCCTTCCCAGATCTCCTTGTGGGACCCTGTGATAGGCTTCTCAGCACTACTGAGCTTCCCCCTTCCTCCTCTGTGCCTGTAGTAGGCTTGTGTTTGTGAGAGCTTGGAATTGAGAAGACTGTGGGGAGAGCATCTGGGAGAAGATGCCACCAGTAGCTCCCGCGTCAGCCAGCTGGTTCCAAGGACTTGTCAATGGCCATGGCTGAGCCCATTCGCAAAGGTGGTAGCGCTGCAGGAATAAAGTCTTTTGGGAATAGATACAAGAAACAGTCCTGCAGAGCCCAGGGCAGAAGAGAAGGAAGGGAGGAGGTGTTCCAGGCATAGCAGCAGAGATTCCTCTGCAGATGCATAGGAAGGCCATGGTTTGCAGGTTCTCACTCTGCAGCCCATGTTGTGCCACGGCTGAGCAGATGTGCCCCTGTAGCCCTTGGACATTCATGATGGAACCGGGTCATGCCCTAACCCCAGCCAGAAACAAAGTGCCATGAAGCCACTCACTCCCCCCCACCAGCTGGCTAGGGGAGAGACTCAGAGGAGCAGAAATGAGAAAACCTGTAGCTTTAGATAAAAGCCAGTTTATTAGGGAAATCAAAAGCCACACGTGCAATCAAAGCTGAAAACATCATCAGTGCTACCAGCACCAACGTCGCAATGGGCTCATCTGTCTTTGTGGTGCCTCCTCCCACCACACCACCTGCACTGCTGGCCAGCCCTCCTATGTCTCCTGTGTCAGGTTGGTGTCCAGCAGACCCACTGGCACATGCTGGTGGTGAAGCAAGGCCCCTGAAGACACAGCTGCCCACTTCATGTGGGCTGGAGTTGGCCAGTAGCCATGGAGCCCATGTGTGGCCAGCATGGCCATGCAGCCATTGTGACAACACTGGTGAGGCTGGCTCTGTAAAGCCCTTGTGTCACAAAGGGCTCCACCCTGGCACCCCCTATAAAAGCAGAGCAGCCACACGCCGCTCAGCCAGCACCACCATGGCCGGCTACAGACGGAGGAGGGGCAGGGCTCGCAGGAGCAGGAGCAGGAGCCAGCCAAACCTGCACAAGACGCGTCGCGCCGGCCAGAGCCGCTCCCGCCGCCGGAACACGCGGATGAGGGGCTATGCCGGCTACGCTGGCCAAGATGAAACAGGCAGCCCCCCCACTGGCAGGCGCCGGCCCCCAAATAGGAGACGCAGACGCCGTCCCGTAGAGGAGGAGGAGCTGGAGGAGCCGGAAGAGCTGGTAGACCTCGAGTTTTAGAGCCAGACCCTCCGAGACCACCAGCCAGCCACCACACGGGCACGGCTACAACAATAAAGCACAGAAAGCTTGCATAATGGCTGTGGGTCTCTCTGGTGCACCTGCGTGGCAGCCACAGGTCTCTTGGTGTTCACCCAGGTCCTAGAATTGTGGGTGGCCCCCAGGTAAGCATGTTCATGTCCAATTCCATGTCCAACAGCTGTGACAGACCCCACACATGGGAGTCTTTGGGATCAGAGTAACAGGCCACAGACACCCCTGGTTTTTATCTCGAGCCACAAGTTTTCTCAGTTTTATTCCTCCACTTCTCTCCTCCAGAAAGTTACCCTCAAAGCCCCAGCAGTACACTGGGACTGGGCACAAAGCACCAAATGTTCTTCTTTGTGTGGGCTCTGCTCGGCCTCTTGAGATCCTGCAAAAACAGAGACCCAAAAATAGACTCTAAGGGACCAGTGGCAGCAGCAGGGACATCCATGTGGGCTTGGTCACGTGTACTCTCTGACAGGGAAAGATTACATCTAGTGTTTATGTTCATCTATTCATCCTTGAACACCTTCAGAATTTTTCATTGAATAGTATCCAGGCCTGAACATGTTTTATAAAATTTATATGTATTTTTACAATATCCTGTATATTTATTAGCAGCAATGTAATTTAAAGTAAAGGTTCTCTC